CTGCACACGCACGCACATATAGAAATAATACTCAGAGGTTACATCGATACATCCAGGGAAAAAACAACCCAACTCTATTGTTGTGACGTGGTGACGTAATGACGAAAGATCATGTACGGGGCGTTACCTCCCGGTATTACGACAGTGAATTTGAGCTACGCAGACTCAGTCACTTACGGTAAAGCTGGAATTTGTCAAGTCATCCTGACTTTCTTTGGTCAACCTTCGTTATTACAGTGAAACAGCAAAATTCAAGTACTACAAATATTTAAACATATAACAGTTACCAAGCTCTATAAATAAATCCAATAATGCTTGTATAAATCACATATAATAAAAAAAATTCTATATTAAATGTAAAACTTTTTTAGAAGTAGCCTACCAATAATTGTCTAAATACAAACATACAAAACTGTAAACACGACTTTTTTGTTGTATATTCGGTCTGATTCATCTTTTAGAAAAAAGGAAGAAACAACATTTGTGACATATGTAAAGAAGATGAATGTCGAATAGCGGCTCTCTCACACCCTTTTAGGTAAAACCGTTCCTTTCAAAATAAACGTATTCATTGGGGGGAAAGCGGTTTGAATACTCGATACTACACAAAAACAAACTATATATTAAGATAAATTCTGTGACGAACTAAAGTATATTTTAAGGCGTTTTACAGACACGGCAAAGCCAACGCTTTAGTCGCTCAAACCTTGACCGAAACCTTGATTGGCTCTTATTTTGTAAATCACTGTACAGTGACTTCCGTTTGACCGGCCTTTTGACGGCTAACTGCACGCGCCTGTCATTAAAAGCGCGGCGTGTCGGCTTAAAATAGGGCATTCGGAAACTTGGTAGCTAGTTGTGTTCTCTGAGGCTTGTTCATCGGACGTTAGTATGGTTCGCGAAGTGAAAAACCTGGTAAGTTTGTTTACGCTGCTTTCTGCACTTTCGTTTCCTTTTTCAAATGCCGTTTTTACTGTCTTTTCACGCTCCGTGCTGTTTTTGCCGGAGCCGCGCGCATGTTTCCCTCTCGTGATTCATTCTCCATGTTAGCTGAGGCCATCTTGTGGAATTTTGTGGCGTTAGCTTACGAAGTTCAGCATCGTTTTGGATTAAACCACTCTGTGTGTGACACATCTATAGTAAGCGTGTATCGTTGCTTTTCTGATCGCTAGAATAACTGTAAATGGATACAGCTAACCTTCACTATGAGTCTGCCGCACCCTTCCATCTTGTAGCGAGACGCGCACTCAGCGCTAGCAAAACTAGGGGAAAGTAAACAAAACTGTCGGTCACCTGAGTCGATTCTGACTTAAACCACGCTGCTTTAGCGTGAACTACGCCGCATTAAGGGGTAGATAGTCCGGGGATAAGATGCTAAGGGCTGCTAGCACCCGTAACAGCTCGGAGCTATCAAAGTGCTGGACAGCGTGTTCCCTGGGTGCTGCAGGATGGGTGGGTGTGGACGGCTGTTTGCTTTTCTCTCAGCCAGGACATTGCACTTTAGTGTTTATAGCCGCTGTTGGTGCCATGATTGCTTCGGAAGTGAACGGAGAGCGAGTTGTAAAGTATCAGGACAAGTGTTTTTATGGCTTCAAATCATGAATGCATCATGTTTGTTTGTTTGTTTTTTATGGTGAAAACGCCACAAATAAACTCTTACAGAGAAATGTGAGGAAGCATCAGAAAACAGCACTGCTATACTGGTCGATAAAGAGTTAGAAAGTGAAGCATGAGAAACGAGAATCCCCACTTTTTATTTAACACTCTACCTTTGTATTGTATACAGTCGTCAGGGTTTCATTTGCCGCGGCATAAAATACATTCAAGTGTATGTAATAACAGGAAATTAATTTCTGTAATGTGGCTTTAGCTCTATATACAGACTGATCAGTCTTGCACGCAAAGGCACTAAACAAAAGGCCCCAAAACCTCCTGATGTGTATCAGTTGCTTCTGGTTTAAATCCTCAAGTAATGTGGTCATGTTTCAGCATACTAAAGTCTAAATTTACCAAACTGAAAGAGTGTTGTGCTGAAATCTGGATCCCGTGTGTTAAAACGGCAACAGGCAGTGTTACGAGGGGAGCGGACAGCAACGCTTAAACAAAACTGCATTTTTATTTATTTTTTAAAAATCTGAAATGTAGCTTTTTAGCTGTGGTAGTCTGGTAAAATATACTTGTGGCATGTTTGAAAGCATGTATGGTTTTTGTTTCTTTTTTCTTCTATAGGAAGAGTTCCAGAGCATCCTGAAGGAAGCTGGAGACAAGCTGGTGGTGGTGGACTTCACAGCCACATGGTGCGGCCCCTGCAAACAGATTGCCCCAGTGTTTGCTGTAAGTGGTGTGAACACAAATGCAAACCCTTGGTTGCTTCTTAAACACTTGTATTTGTGCGAAGCAGGAAAATGTATTTCACTTAGAAAACTCCATGGCAATTAAGTGGAAACAGAAGACTTAGATTGTTGGAAATTTAACCTGCACCAGTTACATTCTGTACATGCGTTTTGGTCAACTCACTGATTTCCTCTATTGCAGCAAATGGCGGCTGATGACGATAACAAGAACGTGATTTTCCTGAAGGTGGACGTCGATGAGGCAGAGGTAAGCCTGAGTTGGACTCTTTGGGTTTTTTAAAATAATAATTTAATGAACTTTTCCACTTTCACATCAAACCCAAGACATATTTGAGCCTATGCCAGGAATCTGTGGTGACATAATCTTAGTGGGAGAGTTATGAAGCACCTTGTTTGTACAGGTTTGTAGTTTTGACCTGGTGTGAGTCATTGTGAGCCATATACACAATCCGCTTCACCAGGAACCACAGCTGGCTCGTGTAACAACACACCACGGTGCACAGGTTTTTCTAACCACAGCAACCTTTGCTTGATAATTGTTATAAACAGTAACTGCGTTGTTATGGAGGGATTACAGCTTCTGGTAGGGTGGTGTATTGCAGCCACATGCGGTAACCCTCTGACACACATGCTGACTCAAGGCCTGCGTTTACACATGCAGGGTGCTTCAGCCTCTGGCCAGACTCCATGTAGTGTCTGATCTGTGAAGCTGTAAACATGAGCCTTTGATGCCACGTTGGACCTGTTAAGCTGGAAAACATTATTATTATTTTTTTTTTATGGCTAGTTTTAAATGAGGTCCCAGTTTTATTTATCTACTCCTGGCTTTGTAATGTTAAAGCAGGTATCCAAAGCAAGCACCATTTACTTTCCAATGAAACCTTCTGTTTGCAAATCAGAAGAAAGCTGACTTGAACAGAGCTAAATTAGTTTGAGACAGTTGGGCGATCTGAGGCGCTACAACAAAGCTCAGTTTAAAGAAAAAAATCATGCTAAGCCAGTCCGGTTCTCCAGCAATAAAAATATGGAGCTGGAAACGAGCATAACTGTCAATCTTCAATAAACCTTTCATTGTTAATTAATCTGACCTCTAAAATGTTTGGAGCAGATACACTGGAGCCCCTTTTTCATTAGTACCTCATCGGCACGGTTCACCACGGTTTTCACAAGGTCGCTTTTTTAGTACCTTCTCGCTCAGGGTTCCAATCGATCCTAGCACGACGTCGTGACACTGCATGTCACCGCTTGGCTGGTGAGTCATGAGAGCGTCTCATTCACGAAAATTAAAACCACTATTTTTGAAACCCGGCAACAAGGGAAATGGCTACAAAAACAACGCTGTGATCCCTGAGTCTGACGAAAAGCAACAGACCAAGCAGCAGGTATATTCTTGCTGCGATGGCTGCCTTTTTTGTAGCGTTCATGTCGCATATTATGCCGTGGGATGCTCTGATGCGTTGCTATGATGACAACAACGCACTTTAGGTAGTGCCACGACCGCCAATTGATCAGAGTTGAATGGAAACGGGGCTTAGAAGTGCTGATGACCTTTTTAAAACAGAAGTAATTGAAATGGATCCAATTTAAATTTCAGTGAAGCTGTAAATACTTTGGCTCGTGAGAAACGTTGTCACCTGCGTGTGACTTTGTTTTCATGATCCAAATCATTAACCAGCATAGGTTTCTAGGTCCGTAAAACGAGTCACAGACCACAGTCGTAAACAAACCTTGCCGTTTGTTGTAGTTTAAGTCTGTAAAAGTCAAATTAAGAGTAATTTTTTCCAGAGGTGAAACGGGCAAAGCAGGCAGGCTGAGTCTCTGGCACTCTGTAGTGAATTTGTTTTCATGTTTTGGCCTGAACTGTCCACATGTGGGGAGACATTAATATTTATGACAGTCGGTTCATCTGATGTTTTTGCTTTGTCTTTCAGGATGTGAGCTCATCTTGTGGAATCAACTGCATGCCCACCTTCCACTTTTACAAGAAGAACCAGAAGGTAAGTCGGAGTGTTTTCAAGTGTTTCTTTTTGGCTAATTCACAGACCAGCTCAGAAAAACAGCTTTAATTTGTGCTGAAATCACTCTCTCCTCTTTGTTTTTGGAACTGTTAGTACAAACGCTTACATTTAAATCTGCTAAAAGCTAGTTGCTAAATCAGCTGGCTGGAGACTGTTTAATATGACTTAATGGTTTTCCTCTTTTTGCCAATGAAGATTGCTCAGTAAATGGAAAAATGTGAATGTTTAATGATTTTTAACCCTCTTCTTTCAGATAGACGAGTTCTCTGGTGCCAACGTAGAGACGCTAAAGGATAAAGTAATGAAGCTGAGATAAGAAGTCCAGTTGACACACCCATGTTGTAAAAGGAGGAGGAAAAATGCCTCACAGTAGAAGCTGTTACCCTCTGTACATTCCTCATATCTATGAAGTCTATCCCAAACAGGCAATAATATATCCACATATCCCATAATAGTTTAGTTTGTCTGTGTTAACAACAGGGTGAAATATGAAGCCGATCACTACTTTAATTCTGTTTTTGTTTTTTTTTGTTTTTTTAATGATGATGGCTTTGCTCCTGAACTCCTTTGTATGTTAATGTGCTCGACAGGTGGTTTTAATAAATGAACTGCAATTAACTCAACAGGCTTTGATGGTATTTTATGCTTTAATAAAAATGTGAGAATAGTTTACACATATACAATGGACCATCACAGCAATAGTTTGTACACATCGTACAAGTATATAGCAGCATATGTTTAATACTGTTGAGTCTCTATATGAAAAAATACAGCTTTATCTTACAAAATCGTTCTTGCTTTGCGGAGAGATGAGTGAATCGTTTACGAGTGTTGGTTGACTATACAAGGATCATAACGTGATTCACACAGAGCCGAGTGGAAACTTTAGAAATGATAAGGTCCTGGCTTCCTCTTCCTGCAAAAGGAAGAAACAGTCGTTAGCTGTGGAAACGCATCGTCACTCTTAAGAATGAACAAAAAGGTCTGGATGCCCTCAGTGGGGATAAATTAGTTATGAATTTTTAATGGGGAGCATTATGCTTTGGGCTCGCAGTAAATCTTTGTGTTGCACTCCACCCATCCATTCATATAACAGTTTATTGGCACCAACCAACAGATACAACTGGCCACATACAGCCCACTTTGATCTTAAGTGGGCCTTACCAGTGAAATTTCCCCATCAGTGAAAATAAGTTTAACTACACATTTTACCCCTGAGATATCCCAACATATATTAAAGTGCAGTTTCCACAGGATACAATAATGCTGCTGTATTACTGAGAGCATGTCAGCATGGCTGGGCTTAAATCGGAAGAAATTAATGTAAAAAGTGTGGAGCTCGTTGATTGGACACAAAGTTTGTGGAAAACAAGAACTTTTCTGTCATTTCTGTTACCTCACTGCTTTTGTACAGTATCAGTGGCCATCGATGATCTATCAGCAGGAAAAACTGAAATTTATGGCCAGACATCCATACTATGAAGCAGTGCAGGTTTACCCTCATGGATTAGAACAACATCCACATTTCCACACTTCTAGCTCTTTCTTTGTGCTTTCTGTTTAGCATGTGACTAAACGACTGCTTAACTCTGACCGTAAATGAGTCACTGGAGCTCTGGTGGCCTTCCAGGAGGTTACAGCAGACTATCCAAGGCCGATATTCTGGGAAATCTAATTCAGAAGTCAGTGAATCATAGAAATGCTGGTCAAATGAATTATAATCACAGGAAAAACTAAGCTATCCCGTTGCGCACAAATCAAATGTAACTTTTGCAAGTTTAAGGACACTTTTTTGTTTCTAAAAAGGAGATCGGCTTGTAATATTCTGCCAGCAGTAGCAGTCACTCAGCTGTTAAGAGCTGACTGGCTCCTGTTAGTGGATGATTCGTGAGAAGCCTCAAGAGTTCTCCTATTTGCTCACCTGTTGGTTTCACTTTCTGATCAACCACAGTTTGAAAGGTTTGAACACACATCCTGCTGCACACCGAAAATGTTTACAACTTGAAAGATTTCAAATACCACGTACATGTTGAAATGTAACCAAGTGGGTTTAAGTTGCCAAATATGTCATTTTACATGCAAGTAGCTTTTTCACTTGTCTTATAATCAGACATTCAAAGTTATGAACTAAATAACTGAGGTTGTCTGTAGTTCCTGGGTCTAACCAGCCTGCTGTAAAAAAGTATGTTTTATTCTCGCCCCTCAGAGGATGAATAACAGTATCTTAGTGGTCCTCAAACTTTTGCTCTAGCGCCACTGTCAGGCTGAAATCAGGTCAGTTCTACTGCTTGATGGCAACAAAGCCATTCCTATCATCTGTGCAGAGCTTCTAGCGTGACTGTAAACCTTTAGCACAGGAAACACACTTATTAGAGTGCAAAATGAGGAAGGTGCTGGAAATATTCCTCAGAAATTTTGGTCCATATTGACATGAGAGCATCACACAGTTGCTGAAGATTTGTCAGCTGCTCATCCATTCACTGGACTGGAGACGGTAAAGGTGATTTGACTACAGTGAACTCGTTGTTTTCAAGAAAGCAGTTTGTGATGTGGTGTGTTATCCTGCTGCAAACATCCATCAGAGGATGGGTACACAGTGGTCATACACAGGTGGACATGGTCAGCAACAATACTCAGCCAGGCTGTGGTGTTTAAAGCAGCTGGTACTCAGCGGCTCAAAGTGTGCCAAGAAAATAGCCTGAAGTGCTGCTGTAGCCCATCTGCTTCAACCTTCGACGTGCTGAGCTATCAGAGATGCTCCTCTGTGTACTTTGGTTGTAATGAGAGGTTATTTGAATGACTGTTGCCTTCCTATCACCTCAAAGCAGTCTGGACTTTGTACCCAGACATCAACAAGGCATTTTCACTCAGAGAACTGCTGCTCACTGGATATTTTCTCTTTTTTTGGTCTTATATCCCGTCTGGATGTTTGATAATGTCTAATATGTCACAAGTGTGTGTGTGTGGGTGGGTGTGTTTAACCACCTGGAGCAGTTGTGTCCGATCCAACCTGAAGGGCAGCTACACCTGTTCGGCCTGATGCATCTGCCTCCGTTCTGGCAAGCTGACGTACACACAGCTGTGGTCAGGCAGAAAGACAAGAGACAGAAATCGTCAGTACGGTGTCTGATGAGGAAACCCAACAGATAATTGTTGGAGGAAATGTATCTTTTATAACCATGAAGTCAGCCACACTACAAACATTAGCACTGCTGTGACAGCTCACTCTGAGCAATAAAGAAATAAAATTGAAAGATAAAGATGTTTGTCTAACAGTGCATGTGCAGGACTCATTTCAGTGTTCAAGCTTGTTTAAGTGTTACTCAGGAACATTGTACATGTATGTATGATGTACATAACACAGTCACAATAAAGTAATGTGATATTTATTATCCCCATATATCATCTCCTGACAGTTTTAAACAGCTCTATATAGCATTATTATCACTTTGCCCTTCAGATCAATCAGTTGACCTTGAAGGAAAGGTCAGAGGTCAAATGGGGCATAATATGTTTAAATCTTTACAAGCTACTACATATATGTTGGCAATACAACAAGTTCCTAAGTTTTGAGGCTTTTTGTGATTTTTTGGCCAATAAATCAATAAGCTGACGTTGAAGAGCTCGATGGATGTCAGCCAGATGTGAATGGATTACTAACATGACCCCACTCTACACCCCTACAACGTTTTATCAGAATTCACTCAAACTTTTTGAGCTACCGCGTTTACAGACAGACTCACTCACGCAAGCACTACGAAAACCACAACTTCCTTGGTGGAGGTCATAAACTGACGTATATCCAACTGTAGGACATTTGTTATAAAGCCTTCGTGATCTTGGCAATGCTTCTTTAGTTTCTTTGTACGGCTCTTGCTAAATTTTGGTGTCTGATGGTGTTCCCTTCATTCTGAGTTGCTACGACTGCAGATATGCACGTTAAGGACGACCGCATATATGACACTAAACTGAGCTAGCACGTGACAATAAATGTCACCCTGGAGGTTTTCCAGTAAGATTATAGGAGAATGGCCTATAAGTGTGCAAAGCAGTAAAAAAAACAAACAAACACACAGCCCATAATTATGCTAGATTGTTACCAAGTATAAAATATAATAATATATAATATAATACAAATACTTACAGCAGACAGATCACCAAATTAATAATAGCTTATATATAAGCAGGTTACTTATTAACAATAAATAGACAATCACAGGAGACAGAAATCCTCTGGGTTAAGTGTTGCTAGGATGATGATGATCCTGCTGTAATGGGAACCTTGCTGAGATTTACTTGCGTACATACCATCGTAAGCACTGAACGCTTCACTGACACATGAACTCACCGGTGTGGCAGCGCGTGCCCGTCCACCCAGTGGGACACTCGCACTGGTAGGGGGCCACGCAGCGCCCTCCATTCAGGCACGGCAGGATGCAGATGGCTATTATGAAAAGGAGAGGAGAGCGTTAGGAGGCAGGTATTTAAGATCACCATGAACCTCTCTCTTTGAAACCATCTCAAACATGCGGTCAGTGTGGAGCTTCAGCGTGTTGACATCATATATATAAAGTGGACAAAAAACTAGATGAAGAGGTCAAAAACTGCAGCATCACTTATACTACAAGAAATAAACTTAATGTTCTGGCTTGCATACTTTATCTAGCCCTGTAAGAGTTTAGCATGTTAGCATGGTAGCATTTGCTAACTAGCACTAACACAGAGTAGAGCTGAGGCTGATGGTCGGTCAGGTAGTTTTCCAGGTATCTGTTCTTAAATAATAAAATCAAAATGTCTTGATGATGTTGCTAGATGAAAGGTTAAGGGTGCTCCAAAGCTCCTCTTGCCCAACAGCTGGGTTGGGCTAAACACCCGATGGTATGCAGATAGGATTTCCAAATGACTTGAAACTGATCATCAGGAGAACATAAATGTCAGAAAAAACCTTCATGGCAATCCATCAAATAACAGCTTAGCCATTAAAGCCATTTCATCTTTATTAATCAGTATGTTTAAAAGCCTTCTGATTAATTCCAGTGTGACTGTTTCACAACGATTGTTTTGGTTTTTGGTGACTCATTGCTCTTATAAATATATATATATATAACTTGTAGTTTAGGTGAACATGCAACAAATACCATTCTCTCTGTTTTTCAATCTTTTCCACCGTGGGACATTTTGAAAATCAGTTCACAGCCAGATTATGTTATGTAGCAGGGTTAGGTTTGGGTGATTTTTACAGGAAGTTGGCCGACAGCTGTGAGCTGCATGCGAGAATTTCTTGTGTAAGACTGTCATACATATGTTTTTTTACACCACAATGTCTGTCTTATTTCTTCTGATTAAGTACTGGTATCACATAAAATGAGAGAAACATCTGGACTGTCTTGTTAAACCAGAGAGAATTAATTTTTCCGCTACAAACAGATACTTCTCTGTGCTCCAGTGTCTGCAAAAAGTTAGCCTTTGTTTGACCATAAAACACTGAGGATCACGATCAGGGCGTGAAAAGGGACAATTAAACATGTTTACGATTATTAAATACTTACGCTCCTCACAGAGGCGACCCATCCAACCCTCGGGGCAGGAGCAAGTGTTGGGCCGCTGACACACACCTCCGTTCTGACACTGTAGCCAACACACCGCTTAGGGAGAGGACACACAGACACACGGACAAAGATATCAAATTAAGGTCAGAGAAATGATTCCTGTAACACAGAGGTACTATTCTGTGAGCATATCTCACAAAGCCAGACGTGCAGCTATACGGTGAAGAAGACACTCAACAAAAATGGCCATTTAACCTCACGCACACAACAGCACACAGCACACAGCAACAGTGTGTGCAAGGAGGCAGGAAAGAGCACAAACTCAGCAGCTGTTCAGGGAAGCTTAGCCTGGATCCAGCCTTTGTTTTCATATTTTATATGCAAAACATCTTAACGGTCATTTGAGTTTCACACAGGGATTCAGGGTGGAGCTCAATCAGTTTGACTGTCTGCTTTAGTATCTTTACTTGATCAACAGGAACCTGATTTCAGGCTGATATGATTGTTTTCATATTTTTTCTTTCAAATGTGACCTTTTTTATTGATTTTTTAACCCTTTTCTTTATTTTATGTACAGCACTAAACTCATTTTTTTCAGAGTGACATTTATTAAAGAGCGTAACATCGTAATTCAGTTACAGACAGTGATGACAGATTGATGACAGATAACTATCATGTGAATGTGATAGTATGGTGAAGTATTTGTTTCTCAAATGCAGCGCAGTCATAAAACTGCCTGCAGGTCATATCTTTGTTCTGCTTGTGCCGACTGAGAAAAGGAATTTCCCAATGTCTAAATTCCTGGATCCTGTTCAGCTGACACTCCCATCATACCACAACTGTGCGTGTGTGATTCATGTTTACTCAGAATAAAACTGTAAACTGAACTGTTTCTTAAAATCCTGAAGATGTTACGCTAAAGCTTAATCTACAGATGTTCTACATGCCCGATTTCCCTTTAAATAATTAAATTATTTAAAGGAAACCCCGTCATACAAAGGTGTTTTTCTTGTTTAAGGGTGAGGTTTTTCTTCCTGGATCCAGGCTTCTGAAAGTATTTGCACATAAACTTCAGGGCGAGCTGTCAGAGCAGAGCGCCGTCGGTCATGGTACAGAGAAAGATAAGAGATCCTGTAGTGAAGACAAAAAACACCCCCACAAACCTGCTTCTGCCGCTTCCATAGACTGTACCCATGCAACCAGAGTGCAAGCACATACGTGTTAATGACCTTCACAGATTAAAATCTCTGTTTCGTAAGCAGCAGTAGGTAAGGGAAGAATTCAAAGGCTGAGAAGCTGCATGGCAGTATGAGTTACAGGATAAGTCAGCTGAAGCAGGAAGTCTCCGTTTCACGTTCGCTCTACCTCTGCATGTGGGGGGCGGCGTCCAGGTGCCGTTCTCCAGACACCTGCTCCTTCCAATGCCTTCCATGGTGTAACCGCCATAACACGAGTACACCGCCACGTCCCCGAACTGGAACACCGCCCCCCGCACCACCCCGTTGGCCACATGGAGTGGGGGGCCACAGGACACCCCTATGGAACGACCCACGAGTTATTCACTGCTACCCCCGTCTACAAACGCTGCTGCTTTGCCTCTTTAACGACACGTTTGCACCAATCTGACTGTAAAATTTATTGCGCTGTAACATTTCTGTCCATCCCCATATGTGAGTACAAAGTGTGCACCGCAGAGAGAAATCTGTGCTTATTAAATTAAACCCAGTGTGTTTCCTGCACCCCCCCAGTAGCCCCGGAGACAGTGATTTTCATGCAACACATCCAAATGTATCAAACAGTTCAGTGTTGGTTTGATTTGGTAAAAACCCCTTACTGATAATCCCCCTGAGGACAAAAATGGACTCGGATAAACATGCACGTAGGAGACAAACCCTCCCAAAACAGCATGCAAACACATACAACGAGCCACAGCAACATGAGCACTGCTGTGCTGCATATTCAGGACAACTGCACATGAGAATGATCAAAGGACAATCTGACAAAGGTTGCCATAGAAGCCGCAGAGGTGCCCGTAATTAGTTCAGCACACAGGAGCCGACGCAGTGTTTGAAGCAGCCTCATTTGTTTTGATAAAAGCTCAGTGAGACAACAGAGAGACAGCGCTTCACCTGAGACATGCAAGTGAGAGAAGCACAACAAGACAAGGGGAGCATGCGAAGATGTGCAGTGTTAAAATCACAGTGTTTCGACAAGCGAGTATAGTGACATCATTTAATCGCTGCAGTACTTGTAGAAATGTGAGTAAATCACATGATCTCACTGAAAAAAACTAAACTTAGTAACTTTACTATGATATAACAGAAAGGTTTACATTAACGGTACAAAGGAACTAAACCTGTGTAGTTCAGAGGTAACACACAGTGACATTAAAATGAAAATTACAAGCAGTAAACTTCCTCTTTAATTATATAATTTAAAAACTTAATCATCTAGTTTCCTGCTAACAAACGTGACATTCTTCGCATATTTAAGAGCCGTTCAAATGAAATCACGTTTTTCGGTTTTGTCACATTTATTCAATGCCACCTCACAAACATGTGATTCCTTACAGATTAAAAAGCTGCTACAACAACTGAAGAGACTTGATACAGAAGAGATTAATCTTCTCTTTAAAAAAATAACAATACCTACGTTCACACACAGAACTCATGGGGCTCCAGGTCCGGTCTGACCTGCAGGTGATGGTGCCGCTGCCTTTCACCTGCTGACCTTTGGGGCAGGTAACGCGGACCGACTGTCCAACTCGAAACTCCTGCTGGACTCTGTCCCCGCTGCTGTTCCAGCCCGGAGGAGCCGGGCAAGACTTGGCTGCGAGAGACAGAAATGATGGATATGCTTTTAAAATTTGATGTAGTTCGTGTATCAGCAATACAACAGTATAAGTCCTTAGTCATTTACAGTCACGGTGTACCACAGAAACAACATGTACTAGTGAAGATTGCCGACACTGTGACAGAATGATAGATGCAGATTAAAGTGAGACATTTAAATCGTTCTACTACACAATACCAGCATAGCAATGTAACACTAGGGCCCACAAACGCTACAAAACTGTGTTGTGAATGTGCTACACTTCTTTACCCCCCCCCCAAAATACATCAATAAAATGCACCGCATCTACATATCTATATAACGTCACTGCACAAAAGTCTGGTTATTTTGAGACGTACGTACACCGACCATCTACGAGTGGTCAGTGGCTGCTGCACTTCTCTTTTCCACATTTGTAAACAGAGTCAAAAGCTCAATTCACTGTCATCTAATTTCTTTTAGTTTACTATTTTTCACTATTACTATTTTTCATACACCATGTTTTGTTTGTTTTCTTTTTTTCTGCCAACAGAGATAATGAACTACATAAGTCTGAGAGACATGTATGTGGAAGTGTCTCTCAGCTGCAAGTCATGGGTCAGTCATGACATAAGACTCAAAAATCAGCACATTCCAACAAACTGCAGCCAGATTACGAGGAGCTGAGTGGGTGACTTCTTGTCACAGGCTGTATTGTGAAACAGATGAAGAAACTCAGTGATGTTGCAAAGAATTTTAAAAGGCCTCTGTGTTAGAAAGCGAATGATACCACAAGCTGCCACGTGGCAGGAAGTCAGAAAGCAAACCAGTAAAGATTCTTTCGAAAAACGTGTCCTCACGTTGGCAGGTGGGGAAAGCGGAGCTCCAGGCGTTGCCCCCTATGCACACCACCAGAGGATCTCCCACCAGGTTGTAGCCGTTGTCACACTGGAACTTCAGAGCATGCCCAGTGTTCAGGCTGAGTTCCTGCACTTTACCGTGCAGCATCTGTTTGGGGCTGATGCAGCCTCTGACCACTGACAAGACAGAAAGACCACAGGGATGTGATGTCAGACGTGTTTGATGTCAGACGTGTCTGATGCACAGACGTCCTTTCACTTCTTTTGCTCACTGTCTGCCCTCCATACCTTCACACGTAGGCACCGGCAGGCTCCACGTGCCATTGTCCAGACAGGTGAGCGTCTCTGGGCCGATCAGCTGCAGCCCAGGATTACACACATAGGTGACATTGTCCGGGCTGGGCTCACCCGCCGGTTGTGCATTTTGTACTGCGGGAGGAGCCCCACATGATTGCAATGAGGACGCTGTGAAGAAAAGGGTCAAAGGTGCGGTAGTGTTAAAGTACAGTATATGTATCTGCTGTAGCACATTGCAAAACATGAACTCTTTACCCCTTGAAAACCTGCTAAGTGTAAACCTTGAAACTCTTATATGAACTGAGTGGTTTCTGGCCTGCTGTCAAAACAACATCACTGCATGTCCATCAGAAGCTAGTGAGGGCTACGCTTGGATATCTGTTTGTGTGGGATATCTTTGTGTCAATAAACTTTATGGATGTTCCAAAGTTTAGTAGAGGGAAAAAAGATCACTGATAGAACATTAAGATCAAATATCCGCTATTATCACAAGCATGTCTGCCTCCTTGTCTGCCTCTGTGCACAAACCCACCAACACACACTGGCTGCGTGCCGCTCCACGTTCTGTCTCCCTGGCAGATGTGGATGGAGTCTCCCTGTGACAAAAAGGGGAGAAGGATATTTGATGGTGTACACACAGAAACGCGTACATCCATAATATTGACTTTTTCCACTGTAGAATGAAGTAATGTTATTGCGTGAGTGCTATCAAGGCAGTCAGCGGCTTCTACTCTTCGTGTGCATTAAAAAAAGGCCGTCATTGTATCGAGTGTCCAAACTGGGCAGTGCAGAGTATCAGTTTATAAAGAAGACAGTGACTCAGCTCTTTCTATTGGCTCAGTTACTGCGCACACCTATTGATTGCTGAAGAGAAGTCACATGACTTTCTGTAATCTCATTGTTAGCCATTAGTGCAGTGGGTGCATGCTGTTTAAAGGCAGAGTGTGGGAAAGCAAGAGGAACACAGGAGCTGAGTGGTCATTTGTTATGTAGTTTAGGACCAACAACATTTGTTTTTCCACGTAAAGAGATGCCAGACGGAAAAAGTTTTACCTTCATGTCAAAGCCAGGCAGACAGGAGTACATGACAAAGTCTCCATAGTTGTAGCTGTCCCCCTCTACGATACCGTGAAGAAGAGGAGGAGGTTTCTCACACATCACCATCTCACAGGAAACCGATGAGATACTTGGAGACCAGCTTCCACCGACCTTATCACACAGTTTAAAAGCGCTGCGTTATCAACGTTACACACATTCATTCTCACTTCTGTAAACCTTTGGCCATTTCACTTTATGTTCCTGGCATTCATATAATGGATTTTCTGTGGTTAATTATAACTTAACAGGGAAGTCAAATTCACATTAAGAAGCTGAAAGGCAAGACATCTTTCTTACCTGACACTCTGCTAGCGCTGACCCCTGCAGGTAGAAGCCAGTAGGGCATGAGAGGGTGACGGTGCCCCCGACAGGCGTGAGCTCCTTCCCGGTGATTACCAGATGGGGGATGGAGAAGTTGGTGGGTAGCAGGCAGGGGGTGGGGCGGCACCGAACGTTGTGTTTTGACCAGGTGGCGTCGCTCTGGCAGGACAGGGAAGCTGTCTGCGTGGCTAATTCGTATCCATCATCACACCTGCAGACAAAGGACGCACATGATGATACACAGAGTACACTCTTTCTGTCTTGGATTTTAATCCATTCACAGAAATGGAAAGTAACAAACATCCTGTTTACTGTGAGCATGAAGCCAGTTTCTCTAAGATTCAACGTAAAAATACAAATATTGGTGGCAGCCAGTGCTAAACCTTAGCCTCCTAATAGATATCGATTTCAAAATCCTACATCGACTTGTTCTCGAGTTAACGTGTTCACACCACAGTGATGGTAGTACCCCATCAGCCTTTCAGGGCTGAGGCATAAATGTTGAGAGAATTGATACTCAAGAGCATTACAGCTAAAAATCCACATATTTCTGGCAACTTTTTCGTGACTCACATCAAAACAAAGGAATGAAGAAAACTGAGAAAAGTTTTGATGCTCTCCTGAGTGAACAAGCATGTTTGTCACTAAATTTTAAGAGCAACTTACCAGAAAAACATACTGGTTCAAAGCAAATACAACATCATCTTAGTGCATGATAATAAAAAAATGAATTTAATGATTTTAATGATTAGAAATGCATCTTTTAAGTGCACTTCAGTTATAAATGTGTTCTTTGATGAATCAAATGCAGAGTGCAGTGCTGGATGCTCTTATACTGACTTTTTGTGTACGAAAATGTGTTTTTCAGGTCGAGGAGATAAATGGTTAGTTTCACCTGATCCAGGATAATCACTATTCCATACACAGCATTTACATTAAACACTATGTGAGTCAGAAAACTCATTTAAGACAAACCACTCCAATAATGACAGTATTCACCTATATGTGATCTGGTTGGGGAAGCTGAAGATATCTCCCACGACCCGAGCGTTGGCGACCTCTGGCGGTTTTCCACAGCTCACAGGCTCGCATCGTATCCTGGGTTCCCCCCATCTGCCGTCTCTTCCACAGGTGAGGTAAGCATACCCCTTTAGCTGGTAGCCAGGCCGACACCTGTATATAGCCGTTTCTGGGAAGCTGGCACTGCCACCCTGCAAGACAGCATTAGGAACTGTAGGCGGGGCAGCGGTGCACCTTCCCCGGCTACACACAGGCACCCCAGGGCTCCACACTCCTCCTTTTTCGCACACAGCTTGAGAGGGACCCAGCAGCTTGTAGCCGTCGTCACACTGGAAGTGCACTCGGTCTCCGCAGGCTCGATCGTGGCCGAGAACCACTCCGAACTTAACCACAGGAAGGGTGCAAATGCAGGGCTGGCACTGAGGCACGGGGCCCACCCAGAGGCCCTGAGCGGAGCACCGCAGGATGGGATCGCCAACGACCTCGTAGCCATCGAAGCACACGTACTCCACAATGTCGTCGTAGTTGAAGCTGGAGCCGTTCACATAGCCGTGACTGATGTCCTCAGGAGGATCGCAACTAATGATGTCACAACGGGGTGCCGGTTTGTCCCAAAGTCCATCTGACTGACAGACACGTGTAGAATCTCCGTTAAGCGTGTATCCTTCATCACATTCATACTTTATCTTGCTGCTGTAGCCAAACTCTGACCCCAACATGCGACCATTCAGTATTGGGGAGGGCTTCTCGCAGCGGGCTGGTACACAGGCAGCAGCCTTGTGGCTCCAGGTACCGTCAGCCTGGCAGATGCTTGGAGACCTTCCATTTAAGATGAACCCAGGCTGACAGCTCAGTTCTATTTTGTTATTATAGGTGAACTCTGTGCCTTTAAATGTGATATCACCGGGGATTTTAGGAGGACCACAGGACACGGGCTCACACTGTGGCTTCAGCCCAGTCCACTTTCCGTCTGCCTGGCAGGCAATAGTACTGCTGCCCTTCAGGACAAACCCAGGATTACACTGAAAGTGTAATACCTCGGGATAAACAAAATCACCTCCCTGTGTTGTGCCATTATCCACAGCCCCTGGATCACCACAGGAAACAGGTTGACAAACTGGGGCATCAGTGGTCCACACTCGACCTGACACACACTGCCTCACAGGCTCCCCCTTCAGCTCATATCCTTCATCACAAGTATATGTGAGCGTAGTCCCGAGGGAGCCATGAGTCACATTCATCCAGCCGTGATCTGGACTAGGCGGTATTTGGCACTCCGCTGGCACACACGATGGGGCTGTCCCATTCCAGCCCCCGTCCTCCTGGCACACCAGCCTGACCTGGCTTGTGAGGTCATAGCCATGGTGGCAACGGTACTCAATCAGTGTCCCATGAAGAAAGTTCAAGTCCAGTCTTCCAGTGTCTTTAGAGGTAAATCTCCCTCCCAGCTCTGTCACTCTAACATACTCCCCAAAGTCAATGTGAGGAGGCAGCCCGCAGTCCGAGGGCACGCAGACAGGAACAGAGCTCGACCAGCCGAACTCCTCACAGGTTAGATGGTCCTGACCCACGAGTTGGAAGCCAGGAAAACAGCTGTAGAAAATAGTCACACCATAACTGTGGTCCTGGCCTTCCACAAAGCCGTTTTCAACTGGCTGAGGTGGTGTGCAGGATATCTGCACACAAGCTGGTGGCTCGATGTCCCACTCCCCACTGGCCAGGCACCTAACAGTCTTTGTGCCTTGGAGGCGGTAACCACGGTTGCAAGAGTAGGTCGCACTGTGATCAAACTGAAGTTTTGTATAGACAACTTTTCCATTGGTTATCTGTTTAGGAACTGAGCATTCGATTGGGCGGCAAGAAGGCACCCCACCAATCCAGAGTCCCTTCTCTCCACAGAGGATGGTGGAGTTACCTACTAAGTTATATCCAGTCTTACAACTATACAGTGCTTTGCTGAGGTACATCAGTCCCTGGACATCAACAATACCATCTGAAATCTCTACAGGCTGAGGACATTCAACTGGGATGCATTCTGGGTAAGGACTGCTCCACTGCCCGTTGGCTAGACAGGACACAGAGCCTTCTTTTCTTAAAGTAAAGCCATCTATGCACATGTAGGTCACCACAGAGCTGAATGGGAACAGGTGAGAAGACCTGGAAGGGCCACCAAACGGCACCGCAGGCGGCGGACCACAAAACACCTGCTTACACACCGGAAAGGTGTCATTCCACTCCTGTGACGGAGTGCAGCGGAGGAACCGAGCCCCCTCGAGGACGTAGCCATCCTCACAGGATAACTCCACTGTTCCTGATTCAGAGTCCAGGCCCCTTAGAACCAGGTGGTTCTCCTCCAGCGGTGGCTCTGGACACTGGACAGGCGAGCAACGCGGAGGCCTCGTCTTATCCCACCTTCCAAACTTCAAACAGGTCCAGGTAGCATCCCCGACCAGCTCGTAACCCTCATCGCAGACATACACCACTTTACGGCCCACCTGGAAGTCAGAGCCTTTGTAGTGCCCATGGACGATGTTAGGAGGAGGGTCACAGGTCAGAAGGACACAGGTTGGGGGGTCTTGGTTGGACCACTGACGGTTGGCTTGGCAAACTCGCTCCGGTCGTCCAATCAGTCTGTAGCCTGCGTTACAGGCGTACGTCACCTTGCTGTTGTAAGTGAGCCGACCTTTGACCTACAGTGGAACAAAAATGGGACATATCATGTGCTTTGTTTTTATGTTTATAAGAGGACTCTTTAAGTGCATTCAGTTTTCATGGCTAACCTGGGGGTATCCGTTCTTGAGGGATGGGGGTTGCGAGCAGGACACAGGTACACAGGTAGGCAGAGCTCCTCCCCACTCTCCATTTCCCTTGCAGGTCCTTCTCTTCTCCCCTCGAATCAGGAAGCCTTTGAAGCAGCTATACGCCACCACGGCTCCAAAACTGTAATTTGTCCCAATCACATAGCCCTGATCAATGCTCTCAGGCTTGGAGCACCTCACCGGCACACAGCCAATATCATAGGGCGAGGGCACCCACTCTCCTCCCATCAGGCATCTGAGTGTGGCTGTAGTGTTGAGCATGAAGCCCTCTTCACATTTATAACTCACTTCGATGTTGCTGGCGTATTTTGGTTTGTTGACCGAATCTAAAATTGCATGTGGTAGTTCAGGTGGGCGGAGGCAGAAGTTTGCAATGCAGCGAGGCGCCTCCATGCCATCGGGTGGCACCCACACGCCCTGAGCATTACAAACCATCTTCGAGTTGTTGCCGGCTGTGTATCCATCAGTGCAGTAGTAGTTAGCGGTGTCTCCGAAAAGCTTGTGAGTCTCATAGGGTTCAGCGTGGTCGATGGCAGGCGGGGGGCCGCAGGAGCGGGGGACGCACTGAGCCGTGCTTTCACTCCATTGGCCAGTTGATAGACATTCTCTGGTCTCTGGGCCAATCAGAGTGTATCTGCACAGGAAGGAGAGCAAAAGCAATGAGCAAAAAAACCCCAAATCATCATAATTTAGAAAAAGCATGCAAAAGTATGTCAAAGAAACTGCAAAATGCTTGGTTTGGTTTGTCTAGCCCTTAACCGGATTGCTCAAATGGATCAAATCTGGATCAGGGAATCTTTTTTGTAGTATTTTGAATCATATCATCAGAAATATATATCAAATAGAAATAATAATTTAAAAAAATTAAGATGTCATCTTATTGTTCTCAAGTAAATTTCAGTTTCTCTGGATCCTGTTTATGCATGCTGTGGCGGCGCTTTTCAGCCTCGATGGACTGCTCAGTTCTCATCCTCGTGTACAGTTGATGTTACATTTTCATTAAATGCATGAATTCTTTGTTTTAGCTGTGCTTAAAAGCCACCATGCCATAGACAGTAAAGATCATGCAGAGGAATAAACAGGTGTTAAGTATTTAGTTTTAACACATTTTAAAAACAAATTAACTGAGTAGATTTCAACCACATTTACCCTTCTTTGCAGACATAGTGCACCTTGTTTCCCAGCTCAAAGTTCTCTCCCACAGTCACAGCGTTTTCCAGTAGCGGGGGCTCGCTGCACAGGACTCTCACACAGCGGGGGAAAGGCCTGCTCCACTCCCCTGTTGCCTCACAAATTACTTCCATGGAGCCCTGTGGTCTTTGTATCGACATACAACTCAGTTTAGACTCCTCTCTACATAATTTACAGTCACTTGGTATACACACCCAATTCCGAAAAAATGTAACTAAAGGCAGAATGCACAATAGATAATCTCATAAATATCATTTTGCAATTATGTAGGTTAATCAACCACAGGCCAGTAACATGATTGAAAATTACGAGCATCTTAGAGAGGCAGAGAAATTGTCAAGAAATCACTGACTGTGCAGCTTACTGTGCCATCAACAAATGCAAGTTAAAGCAAAGAAGCAGCCACACGTAAACTGAAAGTGGAAAACTGTTCGGTCATCAGAAGAATGAAAATTTAAAATGATTTTGGAAAACATGGACGCTGCGTTATCCAGACTAACGAGTGGAGGAACATTCCAGCTTATTACCAGCACTCAGTTTAAAAGCCTGCATCTCAGATGCTACTGGAGTCCATTAATACCTCTGGAATTGGCATGTTGCACATCTAGGAAGGAAGCATCAATGCTGAAAGTATTCTTTTTTAGTTTTTATTTACATCTTAAACAGCATCCCTGTTTAGGAATTGGGTTTGTACAACAAATTAAAGCTATATAAAGTATAATAAAAGTTACATTTATTCAGTGAAAAACTAATAGTACTAATGGTAATTTATCCATACCTGTATCCCTCATTGCAGGTGTATGTGACAGTGGACAGGTACGTGTTGGTGTTTAGTGTGTAGTCTGCATTTTCCACAGTCGGCGGACCCCCGCAGGTCACTGGATGGCAGGTAGGTGGCGTCCCGGTCCACCTCAGACTAGAGAGACATTGGAACTCATAGGGGACCTGAGGCTGGAAGCCCTTCTTACAGCTTAGGTAGAGACAAAACAGAGTCAGACTCACATGTTAACAAAAATCTTTCACATGTCACATGACACCCGAGGTATTGGAGAGGGTGAAGATGATACCTGAAAGTCACCTTGCTTCCATAGGTGAAGTTGTTTCCCGTCATGATGGAGTTCTCTGGAACAGTTGGTGCTGGGCAGGAGAGGGCTGGAGCGTAACATTAACGAGATGATTAGTAACCGCTAATTTTTTAAACCTATCACACTCAATTACAACTTAAATAACTAAATGCAAGTTTAGCCCACTGATGTGAGGAGAAAATATGCACACATATTTCTGCACTGAGAATCAAGTTAACAGATGGCTCTGAATCCCTCCACTTCAACAAATTAATGTCAGTTGGGCATCTGGGGCTTATCGTGCCCCCATGATGCTCATACTTTTAACTGCTATTGATGAAATTGGGATCGGCTCAAAAATGAGACGAACAGGACGGATGTGGAACTGAAAAGCAGACAGATACATTTCTTTTATTTCTGCGTGAAACTGAAGATTCACTTTTACAGTCACAGCTCCAAAGATGCACCTCACACAGTGATGCTTATGTCCAGAAGATCTCAGAGCAATAATATTATATTGAGCCATGAGTGTGTTTTTAATGTTCATTAAATTTTATTCAACTGTTTTTTTCTCCCACTTGTTGCACACAAATGTGGCTTTTGCACATCTAATCATTTCACTTTCAGTCCGACACTCAGCAGCTACAGTAACATGAATCTGCAGACGCCAAGTAATTCAGTTCCTCTTCCTCTGTGATGAAGAATGTGGCTTAGTGCCAAGATGCACGTGGTTACATAGTCAGACGTCTCAGCCTGCTGCACATCGGAGAACAAAAAGGACAGCTGCGTATGTAACTGCTCCTTTACAACACCGGCCATTAGACAAAGCATTTTTTGTGCTGTATATTTGCTTGTGTATGTGTGTATGAATACACAACATACATGTCTGCATGTTTTCCTGAAGTGTAATAGTCATTTGCATGATAATAGCCGACAGCAGTGGACCTTGAATGTGTTTTATTATCCGAGAGATGCATGCTTTCATTAGAAGCCTCTTCTTTGAAGCCATTAAAGCTGTTTAATGGATGCAGTATTTTCACTGTGTAATATATAACTGAAAAAATGTGAGTAAATGCTGATTTATGTGTTTTGCTATGTGATATCATATTCTATAGTATGTAGTTATCTCATTGTAAAGAGTGAAGCTTGTGGTTACATGCCTCTTCCAACCAAACAAGCTGCAGATTAAATCCATGCAGCAAAAAATTCAAGTGCCAATCTTTTATTTCAAGGAAATCATCCAAAAATTTAGAAAGAAGCTGTAAACCGTGAAGGTCAAACTGAGCAACCTCTAAGGATCGCAGCTGCAGAGTAAGCATCCAAAAAGCTCCATAAAATATTCCTAGTTTTCCATCGGCTTAATCGGAGCTGTGAAAAACAAATGCAGAGTCCACTACATCAGACGCAACTGAAATAAATCACATCATCCATTTGATTGCAATAGCATTATGTGACTCCAGCTCTCACCTCTGCAGTATGGGACAGCATCATCCCAATCTCCTGTTTCCAGGCACTGGAGCTGAGATGAGCCAATCAGCTCATAGCCGTTGTCACAGCTGAACACAACCTCGCTGCCCATCAGAAAGTTGCTCCCGTATCGGCGACCGAAGTCAGGAGTCCCAGGGTTCTCGCACTTTACTGGCTCTGAACGCACACACGAACAGCTGGGTTTATAAAAGAATGGAGGAAAACAGCTGCTTGGGTCACCTGACTACGTTGTCATATCACCTGTGCAGTTTTTGCCATCTCCAGTATATGGGTGGATACAGGTGCAGGTGTAGGAGCCTTCTGTGTTCTGACAGCTGGCGTGAACATCACAGTCAGAGCCCAGGGCACACTCATCCACATCTGCACACACATATGATTAAAAACACACACAAAAAAGGACAAATGGGTTATCCGTTAAGTTGTCAGTCAACAGAAACAGGATTTTTTATTTAAAAGTGTTTGTAAAAAGTTTGAGCTGTTTGTGTACCCAAACATGCCGGCGGAGTTCCTCCCCACTTGCCGCTGTTGGTGCAATGCACTTTTGTGTCCCCCAGCAGGTAAAAGCCAGCATTGCACTCATAGACCACGGAGCTGCCGGCATGGAAGTCTGTTCCCTGGAAGAAGCCATTTTCCAGTGGATGAGGAGGTCCACAGGACACACCTGTAAGACATGTGGTAACACTTTATAACACAGCCAACAGCCAAGGGTGTAAACTCCCATAAGATGTAAAAAGAAAAGATGAATCCACTCGGTAAAGTACAGTGTATTTATGATGCAAGATGGGGAAATATTGTTATTTTTTTTACTAAATTACCATAAAATTACAGTATACAGTATAATTTGTGTCTCCTTACATGTAAAATACCTGGAATTATTCAATATTAAAAATACCTCACACACTACTATAATTATTTGTGCATTTTCTGTAAAAGCCTGACTTTATTCTAGTCAACCTACCTTCAAATATTTGTAGGTAAATATAATTACACTGTAATTTTAAATAGAATACAATGAAACTGCATCTAGTTATTGGGGAATTACGCCCTTAATCACGGGCCATATTATAAAGTGTTACCAGAGACAACGAGCAGTGTCAGAGGATGTGACTGTTACAGCCACACAACATATTTTTACAACACACTGCTTGATGGAAAAATCTGTCTGAAGGTAGAACCATTTATTCATTTTATGAGGATATATTTGCTGTTTTTAACCTTCAGATTCTGATTTTTCATCCAGTAAAAAAAACAAACAAAACAAAAAAAACTTTGGCTAAAAGGTGGAAAGTCCCATCTTGATCTTCAGAGGAACCAAAAAAAACCTTTGATGTTTTGTCGGGACGGACAGCTAGCACAAAAATCTGCCAAATCAAGCATTTGGAGCTTCCTGCTGTGGCGATCACATTTATTCCCATTTATTCTGATATCAACAACAAAGCGCTTGGTTTGTGACTGTATCTGCATGAATGTGCCCTAAAAAATAACTAACGGTCTTGCTACACTGTGGAGGTGTCTCCAGGAGAATATTTTGGCATGATAACACACAAGCTTAAAACAAAACCACTTGATCTCCTGCAGCTTTTATAAAGACAAAAGACTGAATCTGAATTATATTTAAATTCAAAACTTGATATAACAAAGGAAATCAATTAAAACAGGTGCAAAACCATGGAAACACATGACTGAGCACTGCCTGTCTTTGTCTTACGTTCACAGCTGGGCAGGTTGTGACTCCACTCTCCTTTATTTTGGCACTGCAGCACAGGCTCCCCCACCAGGTAGAAACCGGGATCACAAGACAGCTGCACCTGTGCGCCGGGACGCACATCCACAGTGGAGACGTGGAGGTGGGGCGCAGTGTTCTCCAGCTTGGGGCAGTCTGGAGAAAATGTAAAAAGCTTGAAGGCTAATACCTGCTGCACA